GTGGGGATCACTTGAAGTAAAGTAATTAGATTTTATCACAGTTGTTCTTCCTCCTCCTCCTCCTCCGCCTCCTCCTCCTCCTCCTCCTTCCTTCCTCCTTCCTCCTTGCTTCCTTCCTCGCCAATCTTCATCGCCAATCTGCTTCGCCAATCTGCTTCGCCGATCTTGTTTGGCCAGCTCCGGATCGCAGTGTGCACCCCTGGACCTATACGCGAGGATCCGATCGCAGTGTGCACCCCTGGACCTCAACTCCGAGCGCAGTGTGCATGCCCTATATAGACCTCAACCGCAAGGATCCCCTCGCAATGTGCACACCTGGACCTCAACCGCAAGGATCCGATCGCAGTGTGCATCCCTGGACCTCAACCGCAAGGATCCGATCGCAGTGTGCACCCCTGGACCTCAACCGCAAGGATCCGATCGCAGTGTGCACCGCTGGACCTCAACCAGATAGTTTGCCAAATAAAATGCCAGATAGAATGCCAGGTAGATTGCCAGATAGAATGCTGCAAGAAGATATGGCAGATAGCATGCCAAATAGTGTGTCAGATAGATTGCTAGATACATTGCCAGATAGAATGCCAGAAAATATGCCAGATAGAATGCCAGAAGATATGCCAGATAGAATGACAGATAGTATGCCAGACAAAATGCCAGATAGTATGCCAGACAGTATGCCAGATAGTATGTCAGATAGATTACCAGATAGAATGGCAGATTGAATGTCATGGTGGGGATCACTCGAAGTAAAGTAATTTCTTTTCTGAAGAAGGAACAATCAAAACAGTGATGGATCATGGCAGAACATCTCTGGCTCTGGCTCCTAAATTCCTGGCAAAAGAAGGACAACAAGGTAGCAAAACATCTGACTCACATACTACTTTCAGTCCATTGAGTTCCACATATTATATATTCTGGACACCTTGAAAAACTTATGCAGGGACATGTGATATTGTTGGCGGAGTTATGGATTTTGTGATTTATGTTCATTGATTTTTTTCTGAGAATGCCCTTTGGTGGTGCAGATTCGAGAGGAAGTATCGTGAAACACATGACATTATTGAGCAGTGCGAACCAATGCCAGCCAACCATTGGATTCTATATTGAGTGCATTTCTTCAACATACTTCAACATACTTCATTGAATCACTATAGGTGTTTTCATCATTTTCCGACTAGATACGTCGCTTCTTCTACGCTTGGCCCAATCGCTTAAGAGCTGGACACAGCCGACACAGCCGACCGTTCCCAGCCTCAGTGAACACGTCCATGCCTGCGCATCGGCTCGGTCGGCTCGGTTCGCCAACAAGTAGCTTGCGGCTGCCCATGGAATGATGCCACCGAACAGTGTTTCAGAAATGTTTCAGAATATGATATATAGATATATGTACACCCGCGAACAAAATCAAACATGTTTCATGAAGTCTGATATGAGTTCCCTTTTTCCATCCTTTTCCCATTTTTTATGAACAGATTTGAAGGATAGAGGTTTCGAAACAACATGTTTGTGGCCCAACTTTGCCTGAACGGGGTACCTTTCGTTGAACTGGGCATATGGCAGCCATTGATTTTATCCTACAAACACCAACGATCTCAGACCCACCGCACCACCCACCCAACTCCTGTGGGGTCGCGGCACCTGAGGATCGCTCAGTTGAAGCTTGGATGCGCGCTCCGTGTTAGCCAGTGCTATTCGTCGAGCTCAAGGCTCCAACGTCGAGCCCATGATGCCAGCAGCAGTGTTATTTTTCATCCGTGCCGGTGCGTGATGAAGACGAGGTCCGGACATTCAGCGAATCAGTCCGTGAAGTGGCGGTGTGCTAGTTCCAGGTGACCAAGGTTTTTGCTGGTCATTTTCACTTCGGTGGGAATGAAGGTTTTGGAGCAAAGACCGTGCAAGCCTCAGCCCAGTCCGTCCCATGTTTTTGCCACACAATGTTATTTTGTATTCTGTACCGAATCGCGATGCCAATACCAGCACTTGTTTCATGAATGTTCCTTCGGCCACTGCTGATCATGAAGCATGGTGTATGGCTCAGCACAAGATCATCCAAGACCTATCCATGACATTGTAATCCAAACATGTGTGTATCCAGATCATCAACGACACTGCTTCCCAAACGGCGCCACTTTCCAAACCAGGGTCAAGTTGACCCAGAAACAAAAACATCCTCCCACATCCTCCCCCCCAACACACACACACACTTAGATCCATGCTCGCAAGAGCCAATCAGTTGGTGCACTCCAGTGTTACTGCAAGTAGACCTTTACACGCAATTAGACCTCGGCTGAGGGAACGGAAAGGTGGCTGAGTCCGCGACAACAGTATTGTTTCAGAAAAGTTCATAATTAGCACTTTACAGGAAAAGTGGGTAACAGCTTGAGCAACAGTTGAACCGGGCAAGCTAGTTACTGAATACTTAGCACTCTTGAATTAACGGCATGCATAAAAAGAGTGTCACAGCTTTTGCAACAGCGAAACAAAAGGTACATAGGATTCCCACCCCAGCTTCATTGGTCAAGGTTGGTGATATCGCGCCTTGACCCCCTGCAATTTAAAGGTGTGGTCATTCCGACGCGCAAAAGTTGACACACAGACACACACATGATGCCGAATTCGGCGCTCTGGGGGAAAAAGGCGGGCACTTGACTGCAAAACCTGGTCACAAACTTAAAAAGCCTCTAGAACGAAGAAAAGCCAAAAAAGATAAACGACAGCAGCAGGAAAAAAAATGCGGGGTGTGTGTGGGTGGGGTGTGCAATGACTAAACGAGCCTACAAGTCGACCTAACAAGCCTGAAGGAAAGACCAAACAAACGAAAAAAGCAATGGGGGGTGGGCAGGGGTGCGTGCGGGGTGAAAGGCACGGGCCAAAAAAGGCACTGGCCAGAAAGCCGAACCCGGCGCTCCCTTGACTAAAAAGCATCAGTTACACATAAAAAGCCTTTAGAAACGAAGAAAGACCTTAACAAAAAAGAGAACCTGAAAGAAGAAAAGCAAAGCAGCAATGAATACTTAGCAGTATTGCTGAGGCGGGTGGGAGGTGGAAGTAAAGCAACAAAGTGAATACTTAGCCGAATGAGTGAATACCTAGCTGCATGACGTGGCAAACTATACAGTGATTACTTAGCGGCATGAAGTGTCATGTCATTCTGTGAGGAATACAGGTGGCCCTGCGGCATACAATCTGCGATCTCGAGCAGTCAGCTGATCAGCGAAGAATCCAGCACGACGATGACTCAGAGAGAATTCCCCCCCTGGAGGGTCTATGCTCAACACGCCTGGTATATAGGGATCACACAACAGACACCAGTGGGACCCTGATGCGGCACACACTTGGATCCATGCTCGCAAGAGCTACATCAGTTGGTGCACTCCAGTGTTACTGCAAGTAGACCTTTACACGCAATTAGACCTCGGCTGAGGGAACGGAAAGGTGGCTGAGTCCGCGACAACAGTATTGTTTCAGAAAAGTTCATTAGCACTTTACAGGAAAAGTTGGGTAACAGCTTGAGCAACAGTTGAACCCGGCAAGCTAGGTACTGAATACTTAGCACTCTTGAATTAACGGCATGCATTTTTGAATTAACCGCATGCATAAAGGGCGTGTCACAGCTTTTTTTGCAACAGTTCAAACAAAGCAGGTGCGTGGGACTGGCCAAGTCCCACACCCCGCGATATCACCCAGCTTCATTGGTCAAGGTTGGTGATATCGCACTTTGACCCCCTGCAATGTAAAGTGTGGTCATTCCGACTCGCAGGAGTTGACACACAGACACACAAACACAAACACCCACACCCACACACCGACACCGCGTGGCCCGCGTGGCGCGCACCCTCCCGCGTGCCCATTTTGGTGCCGGCAGGCAGCGGATCGAAAACCGGGCCTCTGCGGCCGAGGATCCGAGCGGATCGGTGCGGTTTGTCAGCCCGAGATCGTCACCAGCGGATGTCTGATTTCGCACGTGATGTTCGGTGCGTTTTCGGTGGCACGAATTTCATGTTAAACCTATGTCATTAGTACGTATTATAGGTGAAGAAACTGCTTGCTTTCGCTGCAAACAACCTGAACCATTCAAACCACCTGCGTCAGTGCCTCAAGCCAGTGAGCCCTGTTGACGAACAATAGGATTCCGATCAAGATCATCAGTTTTGGCAGACGTGTGGCGCTCCTCTCATTTACGAATTACCCCCGAACAATAGGATATGGTTATGTAACACATCGTTTAAACCCAATGGCAAACGGTGCGATGAAAACATGGCTGAACTCTGGGACCACAAAATCACCCAGCAAATTGCAATTATGTATATACATGTTTTTTAATGTAAATTATATTTAGACTAGTGAAACCGCTTTGTGGCTAGGTGACGCACTATGGAAAGATTCCTATTTGTTTGCTGGCACGTGGCTCGGATCAAGCTCCTGAGTCTGGGAGTCCTTCTGAAATCGATAAGATTGATGAATCTATGAGACGGTGGCAGTTTTTGGAAACTTGGAGTCCCTTTCTGGTCAATTTCAGATCTAAACTCTGGGCAATTCCAGATCCACTTCTTGTTTAACGTACTAAAATAACAAGAAAAAACACGGAGAAGGACACCCAGCTGCACGCGAGATCGCCAACCCTTTTTAGCATGAGCGCGCCCAAACAGCTCTGCTTGCTGCCGGCGCCAGCTCTTGCACAGTCAGCGTACGCGTCTGCAAAAGGCTTACAGGTATTCCTGGCCCTAAACGAAACGGGTCAATGCAAGCAAATATACTTCCTACACAGAATGGGGACCATCCGCAGTGATTGTGCTAGAGTCTATTCTGGGGGGCCGTTGAATTGCTGGCTTTGCACAGAATTCATGCCAAATATGCTATAACATCTATAACAATCAATAAGCTACAGTAACTTTGCACATGACAAGGATTCGTGCTAGCCAGGTCCCTCCGGTTTTTTGCTACAAATAAATAAATAAATATATATATATATATTACATTATTTTTGTTCAGTTGAGTATGCGGTCGCATGTTCTACAAGTCAAGTCTATCGGGCCAGGAATATGCACCAGTGTGGCCAACATAAAGATGTAAAGACATGTTAAAACTCAAATTTCGTGATGAACAATGTGTCATGTTCTACAACTTGGTCTGGTTCAACTCATCTAAGGACTGCACGTCCTAGGGTCTCGCGCCTAACCTCTCCACCAGGAATTCCATCGGTGTGCCATTCGTCCGCAAGTCCTGCCAACACGGAGGCCGATCAACATGATCAACTTGTTTGGCTTGGAGGAACATCAACTTGTTTGTTACACTCTGGAAGATAAACTAACATGGAACCTGAAAATCACTGGGCTGTAGAGGAAAATACTGTAGTCTTCCAAAGGTCCATTTCCAGGTTCAATGTTAATCTTCCCGGGTGTATTTGGAGGATTCCCCGGCATTTTCCTGAAAAGACCCCCGAGACTGGCCCCTGGCCGCCTGGTCGCCCGTCTACTATGGGATCCATAAGGGCGAGCCCAACATCGATAAGAGAGTGACTGGTCGTCTGGAACGCATGTTGGGTCCAGAATGTCTCTATCGGAACCGCCGAGATGGGCGGCCCGTCCTAAGAGAAGAGGAAACTCAACTGGGATGGACGCTCGTTCGGAACACCTCATTTCATCCAGTGTCTCGTTTCTAACTTCACCTGTTGTTTTTTGTCAAGTCTCTCGTTGCCCTGCCGGTATATTATCCTTCCTAAGTTCAGGAAACACATTTTTGTCAACCGATTGGGACAGGCAGTCTCTGGATTCTGGTCGGACTCACGGTCAGGAGAGCCCGATGGGTCGCGCGAGACGGTACTGGCACCATTTTGACATTTGGCCAAACAGGTTTGATTGAATGACATGGAACCATGATTAGACTGATCAGACATGTTCGGAGAATACCGATGGCCATGCAGGTGTTCATTGCGAATCAGTTTATCTCTTCCCAATCTCTGATTGATTTGGATTGTGTTCAGAAGTTCAGAAGAACTTGGAAGCAAACACCCAGGCAACCAGTACAAATCCCTGAACGCCCGATCAGGACTTGATTCTTCTGAAACACACCGTGATTCTGCATTAAAATGAAGGCCAGTGACCACTCAAAACCGCTGGAAAAACTGCTTGACTTCATGACCAACTGGTCTCTCTTAAGATGAGAGGAAACTTCTCCTGTGCTTGTCCGGCACTCTGTGGATGTTCGAAGCAAACCGACCCTTTGTCCTGAACCCACAGGTCTACACCTGGTCTACACATGCTTCTCGGGAACACACCTTTTGGCAACTTGACCGGCGCTCTGTATGGGATTTCTCATGATTTCTCGTGCTCCAGCGGGCCAGAAACTGGGCAGCCTATCGACCAACCAGTGACTTGTCGATCTCCTCTTTGAAGGCTGCGATCTTCTCCAGCATCACCTCCTGGTAAGGGCCCTTGAAGTAACCAGGTCCCGCAAGAGAGCTCCAAGTCGTGTGCTTAACACTTCCGAAAGAGGGGCACGGGGACATGCCATGAACCAGATGTTCATACGTGCGGAACCCGGGTCAATTCAGTGGGGGTTGGATGATGGGGCTGGCTTCAATCGCCATGCCCTTCGATTGTTCTTCTTGTTTCATGTGTTCTGTTTTCTTGTTGTTTTATAGGCCGCTACGTGAACACCACCTGCGAAACACTATGGAAACCGTCCTTCGCCCTTACGCAAATGGCTCGCATCCAGTGCAGCAGCAACGTTTTCAGCATATTGTTTGTGGCACACAAGATAGATAAAAATTGCCAATGAACCGAACATAACCGAACAAACTGTTCGCCGTCTGACCCTGTGAAGAGGATAATCAGGACTTCGTGAGGCCGTTGGGCAGAGCCCTTACGGCCGGAATGAGATACATGGAACAGATTGCCCAATGTGGAAAACACACGAGACCCATGTCACAAATCACCTTTTCTACAACAAAAACCACACAGAATCGATCTTCCCTACCGCGTGGGAACTCGCCGACATGCGGGGCGAACTCGCTCGGTGGAATCGGTGCCTGCGTTGGCGTGCGTTGTCGCCCCACAGCCTGGTGACGTGAAGGAGGGGAGTGGGCCTGTTATGGCCTCTTGGACGTCGACGTCAGACATATTCAGGCATGTCACATGTTGCACACACCAGTTGACAGAGCAGCCACAAGAAAGCGGCAAGCGCCAGCAAGCGCCAAACCCTCCAACAGGAGTCTTCCTATGTCTTTCTCCTGTTTCCAGCCCCTCTGAGAAAACCCCAATGACCGGTCCAGCTGCGGTCCGCCTGGATGCAATCTCCTAATCGCCAGCCGAAGCGCGCAGCCTGCCACGGCTGGTCGCCGCGGCCGGTTGAGCGTGGTTGGAACATCGGGTGCACACCACTGAGCGACCTGAGGCTCAACACCTGAGGCATTTGACCCATGACGCCGAAGAACTCAAACTCCATGCAAACATAGATGTTATGTTGGTCATAGCAGCTTGGTAGGCCAGTGGGTGGTTGTCACAGGAAGGCCCCTGCCTTGTCCGTTGTTTGTTCCGATGAACCACTATGAAGGTACACAGATGTACACAGGTATATATGAATGTAAGTGAATGAGCCCTCCGGCCAAAATGACTTATCCGCAAAGGCGGATTGTTGAGCTGCTGTTGACTCGGATTTCTGACCCGGCCCGGAACCATCTTGACGACATAGGTAACGTGGGTGACTTGGGGCTTGTTTCAACCTGAAAGGACCCTGAACCCACTGACGAAAATTGACTGTTCCTCGTCGGTGCCGCTGGCCATGCGAAGGCATGGGTCATGTACTCTGATTGAGACATTCCCCTGCTGCCAAGCCGAAAGATTTCGACCCTCAACTGGTCGCTTCAACTGGTCGCTGCCGCCAAAATGAAACCTTCTATCAGGAACCTCTACATACGGACACATTTGGTCCTTCTGCGCGGCAACCCGCGGCAACCTGAGGTGGGACATACTGACAGACTATCCCTGACAAATGACCTGACATACTGCCTGACATTCGAGCTGGCAAATATGTACGCTAAAGGTTGTATTGGAAGTTGATGTGGGAAATTGTATCGGATTCCGATTTATACTCTGACCTTTGGCGCATGTTCTGACGTGTGCATTGACATTAAACAAAAACAATATTTACTCACATATTTGATGACATATGATCTGGCACAATATGTTATTTTCACATGGCATCTGGCACATGAACTACTACAAACCATATGATGTCGGGACAATTATCTGTTTTTTTTTCTGTTTTAAATCATATCAACCATGACACCGTGCTTGGCATATCTACTGGCATACTACCTGACACACATTTTTACGTATTACCTGGCGCATACAACCTGGTATAAATCTAACACATTATCTGACAAATTTGCTCCTGGGATTTGATGTGGCATATGTCCAGCCTATATTCTGGCAAATTGCCTGGCATACTGGCAGGCACTTTATCTGGCATATCCTCCGGCATTTGATCTGGTTTGTAGGCATGGGGTCCGGTGTGCCACATCCTGTCTGCGGAAACTCAGGTACTGTCACCCAAACATCATCATGGCCGACAAAACTTCGAAGGGAAGTATATATACATATAAAGAAACAACATAGGTTAAAAATCCTGGAAGGTAAGGCCACATTTGAAGATTTTGAAGGACCAAGCACCATCCTTGGTTCTTTGTTCATCTCTTTTTCGTCTATCTAGAAATCCTCCGCTTCCTCCAGGTCTGTCGGCTGACGGTTGTCTTTCACGGCCGCCTCCGGCTTGGTGAAGGCAGTGATCAAGCGATTCTCAATGCGGAGACCCAAGGTCCTTGGAACGACCAACGGTCCGCTGGAACGGTCTTGCTCATGGAGAGTTTGGAGATGGAACAGAGTTTGGCCGCAGTTTGCTGCATTGTCTTCTTGATTTCTGGATATTTCTTGTAGAACTAGCTAATTACCAGTGAAAGACTGGACCCAGGACGCAGGTGATCCTTTAGGATAATAGACAAATTGGATCTGTATTACTACTGCTACAGCATAGATAGTTGTGAGTGTATAAAGCCTGAGATTTCTATCAACACGAAAACCCGCAAATACTGCACCCTGTTGGGATGCGAATCCAATGTTATGACCGCAGGGTTTTAGTGAGTCTTGTCAAACAGACAGGTACAGGCACAATCACAATTAGGTTACTTCGAGCGATCGCCACCATGACACCTCAATCAATGGTCGTGAGCGGTTGGTGTTTGATTTTGCTTGTGGGTCCTCGGGCTTGGGGAAGGTTTTTTACTGTAGTAGTGCCGGGGAGTTCGTGTCGGGGTGTCGCCAGGGCTTCCAGTTAGCATCCAAAAGTGCTACCCTGTGACCACCTGCCACGCAAAATGCCACACACAAAGGTAGTTATATTGATGTAGTTGTGTGTTTGTGGTTGTGCTTGTGTTTGTGGTTTGTGTGTTTGTGGTTTGTCGTTGTGGTTGTGTTTGCGGTCGTGGTTGTGTGCTGTGGTTGTGTGTTTGTGCTTGTGAATTAGGCATTTGTGGTTGTGTGGTTGTGTCTGTGTTTGTGGTTGCGTTTGTGGTTGTCTGGTTGTGTTTGTGATTGTGTGCTTGCCGTTGTGTGTTTGTGATTGTGTTTGCGACTGTGTGTTTGTTTGTTTGTTTGTTTGTTTGTTTTTTGTTTGTTTGTTTGTTTGTTTGTGGTTGTGTGGCTGTGATTGTGCTCGTGTGGTCTTTGTGGTTGTGTTTGTGATTGTGTGCTTGTGGTTGTGTGTTTGTGATTGTGTGTTTGTAAGTGCGTTTGTGGTTGTGTTTGTGATTGTGCGTTTGCGGTTGTGATTTGTGTTTGATTATTGTGGTTGTGCTTTGTTGGTTATCTACAAATATCTAATATCCCTCACCTGACAGGTGGGGGATTTTGTGATAAGTTTTTTCTTGTGCAACCAACGTACCTTTGTGCCCAAAGCAATGTGCTGTATATACAATATGGTAATATCACACATATCACTTCTTGCTTTCACCAACACTTGTAGGTGCATCGTCTCAATTCGTGTCCACAAACAAAAAACCCAAACCACCAGAAAACACACGAATGTGTTTCCCAAACAACCAAATTGTATGTAAAGGGTCTTAATTGCCATATCGGAACAGCTCTTTGTTTCTGGTTGTTGAAGTTTCCAAGTCCATGTGAAATGTCCGTAGTGCACATCAAAGCCAGTGAATGGTCCAATTATGAGCAAAACATATCGTTCCCAGCATCTGATTATTCCTGGATATTTCCTGATACATCTCACTTGGATTTCAACAAGTCTTCCATCCACAGGGTTCCAAACAAATGCCCATCAATGCATCGGAACATAGTGCCCAAATCATCATCCAGGGTTTAATCCTCACTGGTTAGGTCACCTTGATTTTAACCACCAAAAACATGTGAACTGCCGGACGTGGCCATTGCCATCACATGAAAACCAAAGTCATGCGTTGATCAAACGTTGTCCTGCCTGACATTCCGTGTTTCTCCGCTGAACTTCTCGGCGTTTCCGTCTCTCGAAAATCCCGTCCGCCTCTCTGCACCGATCAACTCGGCGATCACGATCTTCACCTCGATGCGCCACGTGCTTAGCTGGCGCGACGGACGAAGCAGTGGCCCTGAAAGGGCACCAAAGCGGGAGGCAACGCGGCGTGGCGACCGAAAGAACGCGCTCACCACCAAGGTCTTTGAGATTTTGATGTCAGCTGGAGCACCTGCTGAGGCGGCCAGTCATTTGAGCTGTCTGGCCAATAGGGCGTTCCAGTCCCGGAAATGGTCCAAATGAATTGGTCCAAATTGGATGTTAAACAAATGTGTCTTGCTATCAGGCAGCCCAACATGTCATACAAGTCTTATGCTCTGTCAGGTTGTTACAGCAGATACTAACTACAGGATACCAAGGAATTGGACGATGGATCCCTGAAAGGGCTCGTTTTAACACGAGTGATCTCCAGATGTTGCCTTGTGGCAACCAACATGAGGTGCTGCTTGGTTCCATGGCGCTGCTTAGCCCTTTTGGATTGAACCCGTTTCGCGCCACCCCTTTGGCCTATCCCATATTTGGGGAAACAGTGAACCCATGCAATGAGCCAAAATGCCACCCACGGGCCGGGGTCGGGTTTGGAAACCCTATCAACATACCAGCCCAAATAGTTGAACATACCTATGAAATCCCATGAACATACCATACCCTATGAACACGAACCCTATGAACCCTCTAACATACCCTATCATATCGCCCAAAGGGAAACCGAGTCGCCAGGTGCGACTCCGGCGCCGCCGCCGTGTCCTCCGTGCCAGTGGCCTGAGTGGTCCGGTCCCAGTGAAGGCGTCCCAGCACACATGGACCGGGTCTCAGGATGTGTTGAGACAAAGAGGTGAACATTCAGGTGTAATTACAATATATATGGTAAACACAATGTATTGTAATTAGTAAAACACTCCCTTTGTGAGACCCAAAGGTTCTTACCGCACCCCGTCTCTGTTCGGTTCTTTCCCATCCATCGCCCGCCATCGCTTTCCGCCCTCCGAACCCGAACTGAGCCGTCGCTCGCCGGGCTCCGAGGGGCGAAGTTCAGCATCCCGTGGACGCCGTCCGCGATGCCGGTCACCGTGTCGCTCACGAAGTCCGAGACGATGTCCACCTGGGACGGACGAGACGTGAAGGTGGAACCGGAGACGTGACGGTGACGGATGACGTGAGGGTGGTCACCAGGGGTCTTGAGGTCTTTTTCTTGATGTGAAGAAAAGAGAAGAATAAACTTTAAGGAACTCAGTTGCTTTTGCGAGTGTCAGTTCGGGTGGATGGGATATAGAAAGATGTTTACGACTTGAGACCCGATGGAGCGATTCAATCAAGTGTACACGCCTTCTGTACAGATTCAAAAGGATGTATATAATTGAAGTGAAACCATGGCATGGATGGGATGCTATGGGGTACATCGCATCGAGACAATCTTCATTCATGTCGTTTGTCACAGGATGCGGAGTGGGTGAGATTCCACATTGGTTCGAGTCCTTCAAGGTGGCGACAAAAAGTGGTTGTATACACACTTTTATATACACTTTTATTTATAACGTATCTATATTGAATTGCTGTAATATATAGTTGCTATGGTCCTTAGGACACAGGGGACTATCTCTTGCAGTACCCGTCCCTGGTCCGTTCCGGTGGGGACCTTCTCCCAGTGGTCTGACCGTCTCATCGACCCTCGAGGGGTTGCCGCAAGGACAGCCGACCGGCGACCGAGCGACCCAGCACCCGAGACAGGTGGACGGGCCATGCAGTTCGGTTTATTTCGACTGCAAGAAGCACAAAGAAGTTCCAAGCAGTTCGGTGACAGATGTTGATTGACTAGATCTTAGTCTTTAAAGATTTGATGGATAAAATCTTCTTGTTAAGCTGAATCTCCGCTTCATTGCTAGGCTTTTCAACGTTGGCCACAAAACTAATTTGTACCTTCTGGACGGTTCCCCGGCCCTAGTCCCCGTTGCCGGCTCATGAAGGGCATTTCCATTGCAGGCTTTTTGGTCGCCAGATGTCGCCAGGTATGCGTCTTTGTCTGTGACACATGGAAACGGTCTCAGTGTTGGCATCTGTATGCATTGAAGACAAGCTTTTCCTATATGAACGCAATTGAGGCTGTACCTTCTAATTTCAATTGAGGCTGTGTCCTTTGAACATATTGGAAGCAATACTGTGGCGCCTCTGGTCTCGATTCTCACTCACCTCTGAGATGCTTCTTCTTTGAAAATGTGTTACAGTAACACAAAGACCGAGACCGTCTGACGCTGCTTTGCTGCCTGGCTTGGCGCACTGAGTTTTGTGCATCTGTGCAGTGCGAGCAACATAATTTATTCATTCATCTGAACCCGTCACTGTGTTCAGATTAGTTTGGCTGTCTGAAGTGCCTTCCTTAAAACAGCCGAACCTCCAACAAAGGGCGTGCTCAGCACATTTGACTACAAAGTGAGTTGTGTTGCCAACATTTAGGCAAATGGATGCGTGTGATAAAAGAGCACTAACTCTAACAATAAAATGTAGTTCACGAAAGGCCTTCAAGTGGTCTGTCTAGTCTCAAACAATTGGCAAGTCGATGGCAACCAAGTAAGCAGTTGCATGCAGATGCTGACAGGCACAAGTTATGGAAGACAGTCTGGTTGCCAGTAAGGGATTGATCATCGGGATTTATTATGGGCATTTGTCCAACACTCTCACTCAAAAACCATCTTCACCCCTTGTTCGGAGGAGACCGCACCATGAAAAAGAGAAGGCCTATGAGCATCCAAGGAATCACTGGATGACAAATCGACCCGACAATGGCCAAAGCTGAAACTCCTCAGGTCACTTGGCAGCGTCGCTGAGGAGTCAGACTCTTTCGATTGTGCATCGAAATGGGTGGTTTTGCTGAGTGCAACAAATTGATTCCTCCGGCTTCCTTCCTTGTGCTTCCTTATATTCTTAACCCCAATGGACTCGTTGACTCTTTGATTATCTTTGATTGGACATCCTGCACAAATACTGAATTACACTCGGACTCAATTTCCATGGAAGCGGGGAATGCCCCCCCTGGAAATCCTTGGAAGACCCATTTTCCAGTACAAACGGGTGGCGAGGGAAACCCAAAGACAACGACGATGTGCGGTGTTTTCCAGGGTATTAAGCTTGGCTCAAAAATGAAGAACCCAGGGACCCACGCGTTTTAGTCAAATTGTCCACTGCAAAAGTGGGCCCTATTTGTGAGCCTCACATCATCCGTTGTGGTGCTGGGTGTGTCTTTCTTCCATCAACAGCAACTCACCGGGCAGTACACATGGAAGACACCTTGTTGAACACAATTGTCCTTCGTTGTCCGGTTGCTTGTTCACTAGGTCGCCTGTTCGGGGTACACAAATCTCAAACAGCTGAGCAGCTGATAGCAGTTGGATGCATAGTTAGGGTCGACCCATCTGAGTACATCCATAAAATCCAGTACTGTTGACAGTTGATTGATAAGCGGAACCCCTTACTTGGATGATCAACATATATAACATCTTATATAAAACTCTCCGCGGTCCTAATTTTGAGATTTTAAACTTTAAACAGAACACCGGAATTCCAAAAGAAAAAGGATGTCCATCCCACGCCCACGCCAGCTCCCACTCATTGCTCCCCAAGGCTCCTACAGCCACAGCAAACACGAAGGCTGGCAGCTTTCCTCCCATGTGGTCGCACCAGCGTGGTGACTTCAAAGACATTCCCGCTGCAATCACACCTGGCGTCGTCTCCGTCGCGTCGTCTCCGTCGCTTCGCCACGTGGTCCGCCACGTGTGGAGAGTCGCTTCGAGGTCCTTCGTCTGTAGACGAACCGACTATGGCTGTGGGGGTCGCTGGCACCGGGAGACCGACCGGTTGACCCTACCGGTCGGATCTTTGGCGCACGCGTAGCGTCCGTGCAGCGTCCCTTCAGCCCCCAAAGGTGCCCGGTGCCTGGGAGTGTTGGTAGAAATCCCACTAGGCCGATGGACAAACAGATCTAAGTGAAACCGAATATCCATGCAAGGCACACAATGTAAACACAGCAGAAGATCTCAAGAAACATCGGCATCTAATTTGGATTATATAGTTCAGGAACCCTCGGCACCATGACAGTATTCAAGTCATGACCTTTGTTGTAAGCCTGACGTAGGAAGTTTCGAACGTGGTAGTACTGTGAAGGGGGGGAGACTAATTGGTTGACCTACCTGGAAGGTCAAGCTACATGGTGGACCAAGGCCCCAGGTTTTGACCAAGCTCGCGTGGGAATGGAGACCCCAAGTATATGGGTAGAATTCCGATAGGAGCTGATTCCAAGACATGTTTGTAGAATGACATGATCTTTAAACAAAGAATCCCTTCCGGGTAAGCTGCAAAGTTGTGCGTCATCGGCCCGTGTTCGCACGGTGTTCGAGGCAGCTGTGACTGGCCCAAGGTATGCTACAATGCTGTTGAACAGATCCTACCCCAGTTTTGGACAGTTGGATTGAGAGCTTCTGTGGATTGGGTTTTCTGAGGAATCTCTGTTGATGGACCATCAGTCATCAGTGGGTATCCAATTTCAGACGTTATCCTGCCACATGCACAAATTCTTTGGGTGTAGGTGACGCAAAGAAAGCGTATGACACTGCAGGAAATTGAGGCCCTTCAGATAGGAAGACTGAGCCAAGTAAGAGGTTTCTCCTTGTGTCGATACAGTCCAGAGCTGCAAGATGAGCCTTTTGACATCCGTTCACGTCAACCTTTTGTGTTTGGGCACACTCAGCAACCCGTGGCTGGCACATGGTGCGATACCCATGAGGTAGTAAAGAGCCCCGCTGCCTTTTGTTCTACCAAGTTCTTTGGCTATAGAATGCTATAGAATGATGTCCTTTGTAGCTTTTCATCCATAAATCATACAGATTCCCGGACGGTTCCCCTTTCAGGTGAACAAAGCTTAGGTTCGCCTAGGTTCGCTTGTTCTGCTACGGGGCTTGTTGTCGCCTGGTGACGGGGCGCAGTACAGACCTAGTTGAACTTCAGCTGGTGATGTCATGCAGAACCTTGGCACTAAAGCGATCCTTCCGAGTGAATCAGTTGTGTTGAGGAAACAAATGACATGCGAAGACTACGTGACTACACACGAGGTCCGCACAGGGGTTCTTTACTTTCTCAAAAAATGAAATGTCAATATGAGGTAACAGGGTCGCTTGCCGTGGGAGGACATGAGCAACTGCACCTGATCTGCGATTCCACAGAGCAGGTACACCACATACAAATTCTACATGCGGATTGGACAACTTCCGGGCAACAAACAAGTCCTGATATTGCCAAGTACATGATGTTAAGGAAAGCCCACTGGCGGACGCCCAACTTCTTGGAGGGGTGCTGTGTTGGAGACTTCTGTGTTCAGGTGACTACCTTCCGGTGCACCTCAGCAGGCACGAAAGGCAACTGCGAGATGTCGTCGCAGTTTCTTTGGAAGAAGTGGTGGTAGAGCTGGCGGAACAGCACTGACAGCATGGTATAACAGCAGTGCAAGTCGTTCACTCTCAGATCATTCTGAACAGCAAGTGGATTCGTATACAAAATAGTCTCCAACTCTTCACCGGTTCCTTTCGTGACATGACCGAAGTCTCAACATGAAAATCATCTGGATGGACATCAGCCTGGACTGAAGCACAATGAGAAACAAGATGAAACAAGCTCATGCAGCTGTGAATCTTCATGATCCATTAAATCACCGGAGCCAGAGTGGGAGCAAACAAAAAGAATTCGGTAGACTCCCAAGAACATGCTGACATGCTTCCATCCAGCAGGTGGCCACCCACTGTACCCACTACCCATCATCGGTGGGCTGTGGGCGCAACGCCTTCGCCTCGCCCCTACAGCATGAGGAGAGGAGCAAGGAAGTACTTTCAACGCATAATTGTAGATCAGAGCTATTGGCCGTGCTGAAGGATGTCCAATAGATGTTGGAAGAAATCTGGCACCCGGTTTTTGACTACTCAAAACATACCTCACAGCTGTAAATGAGCAAACGCCAGGAATCTGTATGTCTATATATGTGTGCTGGGGTGCGATTTCTCGCTTCAGCAAAAGCGCCCAACAGCTCAGGTACACCCCACTCAGGAAAAGAGGAGCGAGAAA